AAAGATGTACATACTCTTTATGCGCAATACACCCTCATATTCATTGCACTGTTAGTCTCTTTAACTAGGCTGTAACTATACCATAGACACAAGTGGTAAAGCAGCTTCATATCACAATATAAGAATATTGCAGTAAACACTGGGAGCCTCTGAATAACATCTGCTACAAAACTTAACTGTTATAGTGTGTATTATATATTTTTAGAGCCCTGTCTGGGGTTTTTCTTGGTCCTTGGCTGCCTGGATGACTGGTGTGTATCTGTTATACAAACATGCTTCCGTAATTGACCATATATTCAAAACACATAAAACGTATAGATCATAGAATGAAAAAGAATATTACGGGGTACCAAGTTCTGGAATACTGGTAGAGAAGATGGGAATGGAAAGCTACTATTTAAATACATGCATCCATATGTGTACGTACTTCAAAGCTTGGTTAATATCCCAAGGTGGGGTGATTTGACACACTAAGAATGCTTGCTGTTTTTCTGTAACTGTAGACCCAAAATAAATTAGGCATAACTGCTCTTTCTGAGCATGAAGCACAAATAATTATGAAACAACGTTCTGAAATCTGGCTAAGTGAATATTAAATGCATTACATTTTAATGAGCTGTGGATATATAACACATGCGCCTGACTTCGCCACACTCTTCTGCTTCGTACCGCTTCATGTAGGTGTGTAAGGGCAATCCTGCCTGTGAATGAAGCAGATCCAAATGCTGCTCCAGTCACCCAAAAAGAGCAGCTACTGTATGAAGTATCACTCCTGACTAGAGGCTGAATGAAAATGAACCGATCTTATATCCTTCATAATTTGTAGAATATAAAATAAATTTGAAAATATGTAATAACTAGTAATTACCATTAATTAGCAGGCTAGCAGTAAGTAGCAGGCAACCAGTTGTGACCATGCAAGTTTCATTGTAGGCCTATAGAATCTATATCCTTTTACAAACACCATTGAAATATTGAAACTATTGAAATAACTGTGCGAAAATCAGTTAAAATATGTAGTGAGTATTGTATAAAAGAAATAAGACATTAGTATATCATAAATATGTCCAGTTCTATGACATTAATGACAAAATCAGCCTAGTATGCATGCAAAATACATACAGATGTCCTCCAGATCTTTCTTCTGCAAAGGAATATATACAGCTTGCCTGACACAAATCATTCATAAATCTATTGGACATGCTGTTCTGTATTATTTTCACCTTTTCTGCAGTTTTTCCTTTTCCATTGGCTTGGCCTAATCCCATGAGAAAGGCGGGTCTCCTTTCATGTCACTGTTGCTCCACCAATGCATGCCCGGCTCTGCTGGCAGTCAAGCGTGTAAATGTCCGGGATTCCCGTACAGCTAATGCTGTACCCACAGAGTGGGGATAACACTGGTCAACACAGCGCACCAAAGGTCAGTATGAAGGAGAGCGAGAGGGGAAGAAAACCGTATAGCTATAGAATCCTTGCACTTCAACATGACTCCAAGTTGTCCCCAAAACAGGTAAAAACTAGGGTCAGGTGTGTAGTCTCTGCTAGCATTTAGGGACAATGCGACTACACCAACCACGAATCAGATGTCACATCAAAGAGCCTCAGTGTTCAGTCTCAAATTTCATCACTAAATGAACAGACAGTAATACCACCTGGATAGACTGCAAATAAGAATGAATAAGTACAATGCTGTAGAGTATATTCATAATTTACTGAAAACCCATTCATACTTTAAACACGCATCCAGTATAGAAGCATCACTTGGAACCTATCCCAGGAAACACAGGATGAAAAGCAGAGGATACCTTGGACAGGATTTTAGCCCACTCAGGGGCGTAGATTTTTGAGTACGAACAATAGGGACACGTCCCTACCAATACTGTAAGAGTACCGTGTGTGTTTAGGGGCAGTGGGTTCAGGGCTGATCTGAAACCAAACCTACGGCCTTGAGTCCACTGTAGGACAACTTTGCAGACAATAAAGCTATCCCTAAACCAAAAAAACCACCAAATAAAAACACACCAGAGCTAGAGACCCCAATCCACAAATGTGTGATTTCACAGATCGACTTTTTAGGGTCCAGCTTAAATAGTCTGGGGATTGAGGGCAAGGGTTAATAACACGTCCCAAGTAAAAACCATGATTGCATCAACAATGTATCTTGTCAAGTTTTACAAAAAAAAACACTTTCCTGCAAACTCCCAGTAACTAATCATATGTTGACCCATTAATTCAAGCACAAGTGTAGACACAATTGCTTTATTTAGCAGGCCAAAGCAACATGCAATTGAGGGTTTAGGGCCATGCTCAAGGGCCCAGTGCTGAAATCACTCTAAGTCCCTGATCCCATAACCCAAACACAGTCACGATAAAATACCACTCACAAAATGCCAAACTGAATATGCTAATGAACTCGTCAAATGATATATCAATATGAACATGGTTTACTTGTGGCGCCTTTCTTTCTGAAAAATCTATCCCTGACAATTGCCTCCAGTCTGAGCTGATGGGACTCCTTCACGATGCCTATGCAGGCAAGGCAACTATCAGGCAGCACTACCGTACACACTAGACACAATCTCACTTCTATATTAAGCAGAAATGCAGAATGCTCATCGCACTGGGAGACCACTTAATGAACAGAAGTTAAGACTGGTAAACAGTGCAAAGTTATCGCCCGTTGGGGTTACAGTTAATGAACAAAAAACAATGATCCACCTTTTCTACTGTGTGAGTGCAGTATACTGGATTTGTGCCTCTGGGGCCAGGCTGCGGCCCCCCAGGTTAGCGAACATAAACACCCCCCCCCCCAAGTTCCATTAGCACTTATCTACTGCAGGGTCCTGGTGTGGCATGAATATTTTCAACAGAAATGCAATTCTTCTTTGGTGCCTTAACACAGACTGCCACGGACTGACAGCCATCCTGATGTGCAGCCTTTTGCTTTCCAAACATACATAATAGATGTGAGCAGGCCATAATGCACATCTGTTTCCAGCCCTCACTGTTCCTGCAGACCTGCCCGGCTGCTACCTTTGATCCTGTATCTCTGCTGAAATCGCAACATCTTTTCCTTTTTTTCCCCGCACTAATGGTGGTACGAGCATGTTTTCAGAGACAAAGCATAAAAAGCATCAGGCACATAACTAGGTTAAAAAAAAAAAAAAAACCTTTTTTGCCACTTTGCTGGACAGATTGTGGGGAGCAGCAGCAGGATCAGAGCAGTTTGCGTGATACACACAGGACGGGCGGTTCGGCCAGCGGCCGCAGGAGCGGTGTGTGTGTGGAGATCTGTCAGCCTTAGCCCGCATGCTGCTGTTTGTTCAGCTTGTTATTTGGAAGAAGGAGAAAAGGATGTCAAGAGACCAGCAAGACTAAACGCCTCACTTTATTCAGCTACGATATCACGGGAGATATTCTGGAGAAGCAAAAGTAGCTAGATCATTTAGCGAAATAAACGTGCAGTGATGCTTAATAGAATTTTTTTTTTAGAAATACGTGTGCTTATCTTGCTGGGATCTTTTCCAAGTGCATTATAATATAAATTTTGGTTTTATCCGGAAATACTTGCTTAGAAATATGGAATCTTCTATGGCAATAAATACTTGAGAAGCGGGAAATTTTTAGATGCACGTCTAGAGCATCTACTGGAATGATCACGCTTGGCCTGGCCCAGGGACCTGCAGTAGGTCTGGTGCCCCCCCTGTGCTGCCCAAACCGGCACGTTACCAGACCAGGCAGGTTGTGTCTGCAGCTCCCCCACCCCGCCAGCACTGGGCCAGACCCGCCATCCACTCCCTTCGCGGCACCCCGAGCCGCGGCCATCTGGTGGCGGCGCCGCCGCTTAATTCTCAAATTTGACACCATAATTCCAGTGTCTCGTAACTCCCTCCATAAGAGGCCGTGACTCTCCGCCTGACACGCAGGAAAAAGCCCCCCTTCCCCACCCCGGACGCTCTCCCTGTCACGCCATCACGAGGACAGCCGCGCTGCACGCGCCGAGACATCTCTGAGCCGAGCCTGTGCCGATCTCACGCAAGACAGCTGTGGGATCAATACGGCGTTACATTTCTGAATCCCAGAACTTAAGCAGTCAGCAGGGAGTCTATTGAAACAGCAGGTGCTGAAGTCATTACATGGTGCAGCGCATTCTAGCTTTTGTCGCGGCAAAACACTGGCGGGGGCAGCATTTCTGTACAGTTATAGAGGAGCAGGTGGAGGGGAATAATACATTTATGAGGAATCCAACTCTGCACTTTGAACAAGAGTTTAGGGCTAATTTTCTGCAAAAATAAAAATAAAAATCACGGCACTGTGTGATTTCTTAATATCCCATGGGAGATGTACCTTAGTGGGTCACACATTTTTTCTCTATAAATTAGGATATTCTGAAATTGCCATCTCAATGCAGCTGAATAAGCTTTAAAATGCAGCTTACAATTTGACAAGTGAAAATCAATTCCTCATTATAATCTAATGGAGACCGTGTAAGCTGCATCATACTTGTATAATTAAGAATGCAGTACTTCATTTCTTATGAGGAAACAATATTTTCTTACAAATCTATTGATTTGCTTTGATTGAACCTAAACGCCTAAAACCCAAAAATTAAAATCTTAATAGCAATAACCACACTATTAAAATTAAAACTGATCTATTAATACTGGTTAGCCTCTCAAATATCTGGAAGCATTCATTCTAAGGTTAACATGCATAATCCTGAAGCTGAAACTTCACTTAACGAGGCATGATCAATCTGCTACTAAACATTTACAAGATCTCCTATTTTATTTAAAGATATAATTTTTGAACGCAGTTCAATTATTATTACCTACTTGTATAAGTAAACATAATGAAATGTTAAGTGTTAAATAAGAATAAAACACCTGGTTTCAACTAGGTGCCCTCAAATTGCTGACTACAAATACATAGGTACCTATAATTAAAGTGAGTACACCAATCACAGAGGCACCCATGCCATTACGAAGGGAACTACTCACTTCATGGGCTTGAACAGGGCCTGGCCATAATTCTGGAAAGTCATGATGAGCTTCAGCTGGGTGCCTCCAGACTTCATGGCTGTTAGGGGACAAATACAAGCACACATGTGAACTTTGTTTGCAATGCATAGTGTCAAAACAACAACATTCAATCTACAATTAAAAAGAAGCTACGTCATACTTCATTTCAATTGCCCTTACTTTGTCGTCTTAATTCATCCTCTATCATCTTCATAATACAGTTTTCATGGCTGATTCATCATTATAAGACTATTGATTTGCAAGCTGACTCATGCCTTCCCACTATGGCAAAACCGCTGTGTTATCCAGATATCCTTCGGGATTGTTGCATTGCGCCATACAATCCTTTTTTTTTTTTTTTTTTTTTAAATGCACAACGTGTTACAGATTTAGAAAGGAGGTACCGTGTAACAACAGCGGACGCACAAAGCTAGGCTTGTCATCGCAAATGAGTCAGCGGCCCAACAACAAACGCGCGGTGATGCAATTAACAGAAATGTGGCAACACAATCCCCATTGCTTAAAGTCAACGGAACGTCACACTGATTAGCTATTAAACTTATGAATATGACATGAGATTATGTTAGCATGAAAAGCAGATGAGTGCATGGCACGGCTCAAGGACCTTAAGCTCTAAGCACTTTTCTACACACAATTAAGCTCTATGCAAAAATAAAAGCATAAATAAAATTAAAGACTACAAAGTTACATACATTTAATGTACTGATGCAATGTCATAATAATAATATTAGGCTTTCCTTTACATGTGGACTGGGATTTCAATATGGAGAAAAGCTTATTAAAGGTTAGCCACTGTACTATTAACTTTGCTAATAAGTACCACTAAAACATAAAAACAAGCTGCACAGAATTTGCCCATAGGTAACCTAAACACACATTAATGCATTTGAGACCAAAGGTCAGCGCTCCTGCTCGTGCAGTCCAAGTTTACTTTATCTCTGTCATGCTGATGTAGACCTTTGGACCTTCTGTTCTACCTTCATTTTCAGCTTGTATGGGGGGGGGGACCTGAAAATTCACACACTGGGTTTGTTGACACAGAACAACTGTGATCCTTTTCTTTGTGGTACTGTGTTCATCGCAAATGTAATTCTCTTTTAACTTCTGCCTATTTAAACTTAAAACTAGTTCAGTGTTTATAACCCTGGGAGTACGGGGCATAACTGGGTAAACTGGGGAAGTAACGTCAGCGCAGAAAAAAAGGAAGCCAAACTATCTGGCTACAGTTAACTTCCAGATACATAAATTGACTGCATCCTCCTGAGACCCCACCCATTCATTTATGTCCATTGTAGTGGACATATTATTTTTGCATCTATCTTTTCACTGATGTAAGGAAACATATTTATTCCTGTTGTACACTAAAGAAGACATGCTGTGAAATTAAAAATAAAAATACATTTGAAAAAATCTAAAGTGTAAGATGTCTTATTCCCTCCAAAGACAAATAACCTAAAATTGAAGGACACTTTTTCCCTTGGGTCTCAGGAGGTTAAAGAGAGCATGTAAAGCACCTTATGACTGTTTGAACACAGAGAGAGGAGCAGGTCAAGCACCGCGAGGGCAATGCAACACAACAAAATATTGTTTTATTAACAACCAGGTAGGATACAAGGAAAGACCACCGCAAAATCAGGAATAGCATCATGGGCGTAATTAACGGGGAGGGTGGGGGGGTTGTAGTCCCCCCCAATAAATCAAAACCCGCTAATACAACCCCCCAAATAACCATGTTTCCCTCGTAATGGGAGGAGACCTCAACCCCCCCCAATGTTCCAGCCAAAGTTACGCCCTTGAATAGCATACAGCTTCTTTTGTTCCCTTTTAAACCTGCTTACAATGTTATACAACAATAAGATACAAGAAACTTATGCTCTGCTGGGTCTGTCCCATTCTGGAAAAAACAAGTGACTCTGCTTTTGAATCTCCCTTAACTTACTGTAATTTGTACTCAATAACAAACAACCTTTCTACTGCCAGCAACCAATGTTCCCCCCTTTCATGGAACTTCGCTTCCTGCAAACTACAGCATGGCTGACATTATTACCAGCCCAAATTATGAGAAGTATATCCCCACAGCCAGGAGCTGAGTGTTGAGTGGGAGGGGCAATGTCGAGTAGGAGAGGCAATGTTGGGTTTGTTATCATCTGTTACCATAACCTCCGTTATAAACCCCTCTTACCCCTCGTGATAACCCCCTCCTACATTGCCCCTTCCACTTGACACCTGGCTACTGGCTGCAGTGATATATACTTGCAAAAAAGCCAAAGCCAGAAGATACCAGTAATACACAGTCCCAGACAAAACCCATGAACATTTAGCCATCTAACAGAAAATCAACAACACAAATTACAGTACATATAGCCATCGTAACTCACAATAAAAAAGCAAATAGATGTTGGAATAGACCCCAAGCTCAATGTAGCCCTGTACGAAGTTATGGAAAATAGAAGGATGGATGGATGGATGAATGGATGCTTTTTCTGTCTTCTCAGCTACAACTAATACCTCAGCTATGCGCCGGGGACCTCTGCATGTATAGCTAATGACAGCATAAGGCTAATTGTGATCCCACATTCTAACAGCATGATCTACAATGTCCTCGTCTCTGCACGATAAACCTCAACCTGCTAGTGTTTCACGTCATAGGGAGTGAAAAGAGTTAAAGGTACCACCCATGCATTTTCACATAACAGTATGTTATACAACCCTATTAATTACTCTAATGCATCACATACGTGAAACACAGTTTGAACGGAAAAGCATGCATCAGCAGGAATGAGTCGCTGTTCCAAACATAGCTCATCACACAGTGAGCAGATGGGTGAAACCGACCTATCCGATTCATGTGTAGTCCAGATGCCTGACACCTTTCAGAAAAAAAATCACACAAAAAGGCCCTTATTCAAGCTATTGACACACATTGCAGCCACATGAGCACGGGTCCCTGTATACTGAGGTGTGGCTCAGTGCCCTAAGGTCTTTATTGTGTTGTACATACTTTACACTCAACATGACACCACCGTATAACGGTGACGCCAAACAAGCCGTGTAGTGAGGCCTTCAAAGTTTGTTTCACTTGGGCCGCCCTCATTCATGCTATCTAGGCTTATTCCGCTGATGTTAATGGAAAGGTGTCAGAGTTTAAACAACTCTAAGCACAAGCCGACAAGCTGACAGCAGTCTAGCGAATCTTCCCGCCTCTCAACCACGGCATTGAAAGTGAATGCGTCGGCATGCAAAACGGCAAACGGGCGGTATTGGAAGTGACCGTCGACGAGACACAGTGCATGAACTCAATTGCTGAAATAAATATCAACAGGGAGAGCACAAAGCTATACAGAAGCTTGACATTGAGGGCACCTCTAACTCTGATTCACTCAGAGCAACTGGTTGAGCCAGTGTTTCTAGAGGACTGCAGAAAACAGATATTTAAAAAGCATCGCAAAGGAAAATAGTAAGCAACAAACTGATTACAGTTTTCAAAAAATTAAAGGGATTAAGCACCTTATAAAGATTACATTGTTACAATAATTTAATGTTCAGAAGTCAAATCCCATATCCAATATTCTATCTGCTATACAAAAGGTATATTATCATGATAGGGACCTACAACTCAGTTAATGTAAAATGATTAAATTTTAGACATAATTATGCATAGCATCCTATTGCAATACAAATATCAAACGTTTTTTTTATAATATAAACATTTCAGATCTCCCATTCAGCGTGGAACAACCCTTCACAAGTTCATATATTATACAACTCATAAAATGAGCAGTAATTAAATTTAATGATGTCATAGAGGTTATTATCAGGGTGCAGGGTGCTGGACATATACTCTATACAATAGACTTCTTTCGATTAAACTTTACTGGTTTTAAGAGTGACATCTGATGATGTTAGTGATTGACTTTTGAACTACTACTGTCCAACTGCACTGACCATTGAGTTCATATCTGAGGGTTCATATTTACACTGGCTGACAAGGGGTTTGTGTTCATGGTGTGAGGCCCTGTGCAGCAGGACTGTTGGGGGCCTGCTTATTTTTATCTCTGGGGTAATACAAAACAACATGCTCCCCGCTCCCCCCCCTAGGGTGGAATGTGTGAAAGTAAAAGTGGAAAAGTGGTGATGTCACGCGTCAGAGTCGGCTTTGCAACACTTACTTCCTACACCTACATGCGCAAATCCGGAAACACTGACTGCTTGAAATTGCTTTTATATAAAGAGATTATTTCCAAAAAACTAACAGAAACCAAAAGGATCACTAATATTTGGGGTCATGCATATCTTTTTTCAGTAACATTCAAATATCGATGAAAATACAGGCCACACGGAGTCTAAATTGAACACATAAATGAGTGAAATGGTTCCATTTTTGCACCTAATGCTTGAACACGTTATGTGTTCCAAATGATCATACTGTACATGCACCCGAACATGAAATATGAAATAAAAAATGAACTAAAATTGATAGATAAACAGTGAAGAGCAGGAGCCAGTTAAATATTGCAGTGTGCTTTTGACTGAATGAGAATGTGATACAGCACATCTGACAATGGCCATCATTAAAGAGATAAGTGCAAGTCTTGGCAGGGCTGTTGGGTCAAGATCCAGCCTCTGATATTCTTAGGCTGCGCAGCACACCTCAGTTGAAAGAGCATACTGACTTTTCTTGACAAAATAGTTAAGCCTCATATATGAGCCAAATTAGCTAAAAAAATTAGTTAAAAAATCAGCTGTCATAAACTGTATGTTACAAACATAAAGAAGGGCAGTGGAACTGTCCTCTCTCCTTCACATGAGCAATTTCAGCAAGTAAGAAATTAGCATGTAAACTTCTGCAACAAATGCAATCTATATATGTGTAAATACCGACGCAAAGTATTAGAACAGTTCTATTGCTCGTCAGTACAGTTTCATTACTCAGGACATTCATATGTTTTACTGTGATGTAATCCATCCAGTTCACTAGTTTTATCTGAAAGTCCTCCATATAATCCATGCAGAATAAATCATCTGTACTTATAAAGCCATATGTTAAATACTTACAAATAACAAGCACTGAAAGATAATGGAAGCAGATTTCTGGAAAGGGTTTTGTTTGTTGCAGAAAATGACAAAACCACAATTTAATATCTTTCAAACAAAGCACGATGCAGGATTTACTGATCTAGTCTGAACAGTTAGTGCATTTCATCATAGAAGCGTCACAAGGACAATGACATTCTGGTTACAGGCCTCTTTTTTCCCTCTTACTCATCCAAAGGTCCTTGTCATCTTATCAGACCCTAGAAACTACTGGTCAACAATAACAATAGGGGGTGTGCATAGCTCAGCAGGTTAAAATGCTATGTTTATGATCAGAAGGTCACTGGTTCAAATCCCAGGATTAGAAGACTGCAGTGGCTCCCCCTCAATTGCTGCAGGGACTGTCTGATGCCATTTGCTTGAATCAAAGTACCATATTAGCCCAAATGTAAGACAACCTCCCACTTTTCGGCAACTATTTTTAGAAAACATTTTTTTGGAATACCAAATCTTACTTTTATAAAGAAAACTAATTTGACAAGAATGTATAATAAATAAACCATAGATCAGATTACAATAAATGTATTAAACAGCAAATATTCCAAAAAATGTATTATTTGGCCGGGGGGAGGTAATGAGTATTACGAACCCTTGGGGGCGCAGAATGTTGTCGATGCAGCAGACCCACATGAAGGGGGTAAAAAAAATGTGTTGTGGAGAAAGGTTGATCCTTATTAATTAATGATATGACAGCTCTTTAAAAATGAATGCTAGTATCTTTATTAACAGCCACTATCAGTTTAATACTAGCAGTGCCACAGCCAGGGAAGCCAGCAATTTACACGACACTCAGGAATACAGGCTAAACACACGCACTGGCAGGGCTGCCAGCTGTCACGCATCTGGCGTGACACTCACACTGTATGACTCTTACACTTACACAGGAAATCTACATTACCGTAAGTCAAAACACTCATTACAAACGATTGCATTTGGTGCCATCTATTACCTTTTTCGACTAGACCCCAAATATAAGACAACACCACTGTTTCAGATGTATTATGAGGAAAAAAACAAACAAACTGTCATATACTGGGGTGAATGCGGTACACTGATTTGGATAAAAGCATCAGGATCTGAGATTTTATAAACATTGCATCATAGACACAGAATCGGAGATTTTACTAAGTGATTCATTTTGGGTATATTTTTGGCAAAGCTGCAGGACACAGCAGAAGACTGATGATGAGAACTTAGCAAGCAGCCCTCTGTTCCTGTCTGTATCCTGGGCTTTTTGGAGAAACTGTGAAGGCACCAAAGATGCAATTAGGTAAACTGGTTTCCTGGAAAATAAGTTTGAGGTTTCAGCTACAAAAGGTATTGATGTATATGTATTCTTTTATCTACAGCTGATATATTTATAAAGAGAAAATAAATGACAGAAAATTATTATATATATTCTGGTGAATTACGATATATATATATACACACACACACACACACACACACACACACACACACACACACTAGTAGAAAATAGGATGCTACAATGTTAATCTTGTGCTTCAATCCTCAACATGATGGAGATGCAGGGCACATGCACTGAACAGAAGCAACCCTTTGTCCTCAATTTATGAACAGTCTTCAGCAAAGACCCATTGTTTGAGGGACCTAAAGGGGACATCTGACCATTGACCTAGAACAGCCCAGGTCAGTGACCTTGAAAGAAAGCGAGTTAATGGTCTATTCTCTCATTCCTTACATCAGCAATGCATACATTCCTGCAGATCTCTATGCGCAGTCATTACTAACCTCTCTGTTGTTACTAGACTTCTTCTAAATTGGATGGCATCACAAACTAGGCATAATTTTACTCAAGTGAGTGAATAACCCTGCAGGTACATGTCCATTTTTATTGTTCTGTATTTGTTTTTTTTTTGTTTTGTTTTTTTTTTGATAATTCACTCACCGTCCTTGCTTTCTCTTTTGTATGTTTCACATTTTGTTTCTAATTAACCACTGTGAATGCAGGTCTTCAAAGAATTGCAAAAAACTCATCTAACACATTCTTAAAAAAACAAACAAACAAATAAAGCCATTTGTGGCCCATTTTCTTAGAATTAATTACATTCACCATAAAATTGATAATAATTAATAGCTACCATGGTACATCGCTTTAGCTGTTTTTAATGTCGTGACTTATGCAAAGCTGGTGCATTTTTGTTTTGCAACAGTTGCATAATACACAGGATGCTATGCAACTCTGGTGACACACATTTTTCAAGTGACATACAATACATATGTTTATAGCTTATGAAATTATTTTGTTTGTAGGTCTGTCTCACAATTAATCAAATTATTTGTTAAATTATGATTCAGCCCATGGTTTCTGTGATGAAGACAGAAGGAAATGATAATTTAGCAGGTGCACTTCACCAACCTTTCAATTTACACACACACACACACACACACACACACACACATACACATAGAGAGTCATGTAATTATATCTTTTTGGAGGCTGCTCATTCATATCTATGGGAAAAATGCTAATGCTAACTATGACAACCTTAACCCCTACCCAGCCCTAACCATAACCATAAGTAACCAAATAAAATACAAGAGTTTTTGCATTTTTAGTTTTTTCACTGCAGTCATGGAATTTTATAAAATAGAGTTTTCCTCCTGGTCCCCATAAGGTAAAAAAAACAGGTATTCATCACATTGTGGGGACGTGGTAAGGTATACCTGGACCACACACACACACATACAGTGCACATACATACACATACATATCCATCCCAAGGAAGAATATCCAAAAGTTACCTGAATCGCTTAAAGTCTAAAAAATAAACAAGAACAGATCTGTAAGGAATTTCCTACATTTATGTTGTACCAAGGTGAATTCATGAATTCATGATTCAGCTGGAAATGATGCATCAACGAAACCGCCTACATTCCTGTCTCCCCCTATCTTCAGGAGGCCAATTATTGTGCTTGGAATCTAAAAGCAATCTCTCTTTATCTTGTTCTTTTTTAATAAAGACATTAAAACAAATGTGCTTTGAGTTCTGGTGTACAGAGTGGCAGTCAGTTGCTGATATGTAATACACACAGCAATTCAGCCCTTTATTCAGAAGACCAGATGTCCACTGTGTCATGTTTGTGTCACGTATTCAATGCGGTGACAATTCAGACCTTAAAACAGCTGTTGTACATAGCATCACCCCAGAATACTGTACGAGTGTATGAATTTTCTCTCAGCATGTGCAGCTAATTGACAGAAAACATGCAGAATAAATGAGCTCCAGAACAAATCTGAAGACGATATGCATAAAATGACAGGCTGAAAGCTAATATTGATCTGCAGCCATTCAGAAAATCCTCGTGGGTCGAACCAATTGTCATTTTGCTGTCTGGGAAGCCTGTGTAACAAGCGAAATGATAAAAGATCATTGTGACACTACAAGCCGTTTCATCCTCATTTGTTTTATTGCCTGTTCCTCTCCCACAGATATGTTGTGAAATGTGATGTCTTGAAATCGGCATGCAAAACTGAAACCTCACAGAATGTGAATGTGATTGTTTATTTACAGTACACGGGATTTGCACATGAGTAAACAGTAGCTAAACTGTTACATGTAAAAAGCCTAACAAATTGAAGAAAAAGGGAAGAAAAGCCAGAGTACAGCACAGAAAACTTACCGACACTGGTGATTCTTTGAGTGACCAGATCATTCAGCAGAGCATCCATGACTGGGCTATGTCTAGCATACAGTTCATACCGATTAATTCCAATGTGGAATCTCAGCCAGTTTGGATAAGTGTCTACAGAGGATTCCCCAGTGGGGCTAAATTCTTCTTTGTGCCCTTCATTCTGCCTGAAAGAAACAAACCAGCGAAAAGAAATGAAACACAGGCAGAGCAAAGGCAAGAATATGTAAACTAACATTAATTAAAATTTGAGTTCTATCTCGAGGAACTCAATTTCAGCAGCTCTGGGATACGTCATTCTCATAGCCTCAAAGCCCACATGGAGATACGGAACTTGTAATCTGTAAGTCTGAAAATATAACATTTGGTCTTCAGACAAGGATACTGTTTTTGATTAAAAAAAAAAAAAAAAACGTTGTAAGATTATGAAAGACTGAGCAAAGCACTCAAATCAGAAAACATACAAACTGCAGAAACAAAAGTGCAATGACAGGCTGTTCAAAAGAACATTACACAGATGTTCACAGCGTTATCCTTCATCTTCGTCATCGTGCTGACATATCTGTCGAAGGATTTAACGCTTATACGTTACTTTCAACGTCTAAACAAGACTATCAGACAGAAAACTATTTACTGATGTACTGATGTTATAAGTGTTTTGTTTTTCATAAGTAGTTTGTTTTCTACTATAGTGATTAATAACGGCAAATAATATTTCAGCTAGTGCATCTTTTGAGTAAAGTCCCTTCTTCTACAAAAAGGACTGTATATATCACGAGTGATTAAATTCGTCCGAACAGTTATGGTTGCTCCACTGCATGTACCTTGATCATATACTTAAAATGTCCAAGTTGCTGTTTTGCTATTATTTAACAGATACATCAATTCAAAAAAGAGGTGATACAATGTAACCGCTACAAAAGACACATGATCCATTCTTACCATTCTTGGTCCTCCGCAGCTTTCGGGTTGAATCTGATGTCTGTATTGACGTTAAACAACGTGTCTTCGTCTGTCAGTGGCGGCAGGGGGATCTTGTACAAAGGTTGCTCAAAGAGGGACGACAGTCTAGAGGAGCCCTGGACAGGTTCACTCTCGGCTCCCGTGTTCTGGATGAAGTGCTTCTTGCTCTCTTCGTTTCGTGCGTATTGCTCCAGTCTTTTAAAAGTCTCAGTTTTATCCCCGGGCCCCGTGATCTTTTCTAAGGAATGCGAGGTAAGATTGGAACTGGGCTCGTTACTGAAATCTTGCAGTATCCTTAAAGTATGTTTATTAGGCCAGCCCGATTCGGCTCCCGGTCTAAGCCGCTGCTTACCCCAACTCTGCGGTTCTTCGCTCGGTCTGTGGGAGCATGAGCAGGCGCTGTTGCCGGCGCTGGGTCCGGCTGCTCGTCTCTCCAACTTTGGTAACAAGTCAATCATGATGTGCATGGTGCACGCTATCAGGAACACCATGAGGATCAACACTCGGAATTTGCGAAACAGGATCATCTTCATAGTTACCACTCTCAGCAAATGAAAGTACCGATTAACCCGAATCGAGGTGAAAATAAGAAAGCTCAATACATCACAAGCCCTATCTAATTAGCTGCGATTTTATCAAAATTCGAGTTAAAACGTTCGCTGTCTTCATTTGCAAGGCTGGATAAAGGTACTAGCGTTCGACTCCAGAATAATCCGTCACATAATTTAGAAATCCATGTAAAGCGAGAGGCTGTGTTATTATTTTTGCTTTGGAAAAAAATATATGTTGTCAGGTATGATACAAGGCTATATCAATGCAACGCCGGGGAAGATTCACCACGAACTCCTGACCTAAATAACTTAATGCTTATATTTTTGCTCAACGCCGAATTAAATGCACAGGATAACTGGCACTGAGGATGAATTATATATATTTTAGAAAAAATATCCATAAAATGTATTCTCTTGGTCTTGATAGCTGCGCTCCATCTTCAAAACCTGTATACTGCAGTGCTGAAGAGACCTTCTCATTTCGCCTGAACACTCCAAAGGCATTTGTCCAAGCCGCAGTTGAGAAGAAAGCATATGTTAAGAAAACGGCTTATTCTTCATATAGGTCAGATGGATGTACAAGGCGACGCGAAGACGCCGCCGTCCTGTCGAAAGTCCACGGAAATATTGTACAAAACATACCAAAATCAGAAATCACTGAGCTACACGGAGAAGCGATGAGAGCTAAATCTGAACGCGTTGGCTGCTTTAATAGCAGAAAAAAGATCCACCCATCCCAACCACGAAACCAGAACGCATAAGGAATATATAACAAACTATACACGTATAAAGCTCTAAAATAATAAAATACAGAGACGTTTCAGCAGGTGCAGATATTTTCTTTTGCTTTTGCCCAGAAGCTGCACCACCCGACACCGCTGGCGAACTAGTGCTTTTGCTGTTTAAAGCTGGGTGGGTGTGTTAAATATTATGATGGACCCTTCTAAATCCAGCCTTTACTGAACGTCACAGGGTCGAGATTGGCTGGATCCGCATACAGGCTGCGATAGTAACATAAAAAAAGGCTGTAACAGTCTGGGACTGTACGCCTCATCCGTCCTGCAGTTCCGGTTACTGCGACAAGGGGGCGTATTATAATAAATATAGTGGGGGGAAAAGACAAAATGTATATGTGTAACAGTAACAATATTGCAGCAGCGGTTGGGTTGATTTTTTAAAATTCGCTTTTATATTATATTGAAAAATATTTCTTTCCGTCCGAACCTCCCACATATTCATTTTTTGATATGGCCCAAAAGAAAATACAAAAGTAAAATGGTCGCCACATGTTTGAGAGATTCGTGCTCCGCTGCAGCGGCGTCATCCGAAGCAGGGGGCATAGCCTTTGCTTATTAAGTACATCTGTAAACTGGAGAGGCAGCAGGTATGGTATTTAATCACAAAATATGATTCGATATATAATAAGTTTGAGGAAGTCAAACACATGAGTATTAAACTTACTTTATGTGTATGAAGCATACTATTCAGTTTTCAGTCCTCAAAATAGCAGACATTCTCGACTTGAGTCAGGAAATTTTCACTGACGTTTCTTAAATATGATACTCATGCTATTCATTTTACATATTACAAAAATACTTATAAAGTTCAATATTTATTTAAAATCTTAATGCAATTCAATATACTGACTATAAAAATATTGTATACGACAGTATAAAGGGCAGGGCAGTTTCTTTGGAAATAAAAATCTTATAAACATTTATTTCAGACTGCGAAAATGTTAACGGTATATTCTAAAAAGTCAAATCTAACCGTAGGGAAATGTGATTATTTTAACCATGGTTTAAATATATAAGAACAGACTGGTGTTTGTATACTGCTTAGATTGCCTGGTTATTTGCTCTGTAATGTCAGTTATTCAGCACGAAAGCTATGGGATTTTTACTTTTTGAAATGATAGGCTGCTGATTACAGGAACTAGCAATAAGGCCAACGAAGACCGCGCCTAGTTGGTATAAATAATAATTATATAAAAAAAAACAACTATTCTATAGCAAAACTTTACTGTTGAGTAGTAAACTAATAACAAGATGAAAAAAAAGCTTATTTAAAATAATAATCATTTAGTTTTTAGGAGTAATGAGGTCTGTGCTCTCAAGTAGCAGGTTGCATTACATCAGAACCCAGGGTTTGGACTGAGTGGTCACATGACTGTCCTTCATACAGCTGAATTTCAAAGTGTCTATAGGCCGTGGTCTGTACAGGCCAACCAGTGGGAGGCTGGCTGTCTTACTCCAGCAGTAACAGGATACACAACGATTGGATCAACGATTGGATCAGATTTTATTGTCTTGGCTTGTCGTGTCTCTGAGATGAGTTGTGTCACAGAGCACATAACTGTGTACCCAACTCTGGCACAAGAGAATGGCATGTGGATAGCAGTTCAGAGAATTAATATTTAGTGCAATTCAGAGTGACTGGGGAAAAGAAACATGGTTCACGTTGCTGAAAGAATGTTGCTATAGACAGCATAATAATGGAAGCTCATCGAATAGAAACAAAAACCTTGTAGCTAATGATAAAAAGTTTTAAGATCTCAATCTGATCTGTCTTCTTCGAAATTATTAGATCCAGTAATATATATATATGCAACAAATAACCTCCTCTGTTATTTACGCAACTGAGTTTGATTTGTACTCTATTAATTGGGCATTCATTTGCATCACTGTTGCCAATGCAAGTAATGATAAAGGCTAATTACTCACCTAAAGTAATGTCCAATGATCCCCCAAAAGAAAAGTGCGAAAGAAAATTAAGTAAGAAAACTTAATTTTTGTGCATTATCTATTATTCTCTGTACTAATGCAGGTGCAACAAAATACACAACCACACATACACACACAAATGCATGAAAAGGTAAATTTCAGTCAGATGTCAAACTAGACAAGGCGGCTCATTAAAATGTAATTTTTAAATCTGTTTTTAATTGCTCAACAGTAGGGGCTCTATAGTTTGAAGGATTGAGATCTCGTCAATCCAGAGCAAGAAGTAGGGTGAGCAAACAAGGAAATGTCTCACAAAATGTCTTTGTATGCCTTCAATACTTCTTTGAACTGTTAAGCATACACACGTCAGAAAACATAAAAAATGCAGTGCGCTCAGAATTCCCTCATTTTGTCTGTACAAATCATCAGCTAAAGAGAGATTCAGTAATGAATTTTGCATGTAAGGTTGTTCTGTTACATTATTATTTTGAAATCCTCATTAAAATAAAAGCATAACTCTGCACACTGTACTCTTGTAAAGTGATGATGCTGAGTTGAGTAAACATCCCATTTGAATGCTGCTGATCGTCTAAAAAGAACTTATTAAAATATTACTGCAGATTATTTGAATTGGTCATCCTTACAGGGTAATTGAGATGACATCTAGAGGTCTTCCTACATAAATTATCCAGTGTATATAGTTATCTGGATGATCGTTCTCAATTTGCATCCAATTCAGAGTCATTTGTATGATTTTCTGAACAGTATGAATGAGCTCGGGGCTATATTCATTTTCGATCACTGACCTCACACACAGGTGTGAAGTATTTATGGTAAATTTGGAGGTTGAAGAATATTTATAGTGGTTAATGGAAAATTACAGGTCTGTATATGGACGACCAATTAATCTGAAAAAACATAAGGAGTTACAAGCCAAAAGGAACAGCAGTAATGAATGGCTCATGTGCGCATGTGATGGACCTTATAGCCTTGGGATTATGTTGCTTGCATAAGGGTTGTAGAGAGTGACATATCTTTTAGAGGTCGGGGCAAACCGGTATCTCTAAATACTCCAGTTTTATGTACTGGTTTCTCCAGACCGATGTGGATGTTTACCGCCTCCTGAAATAGTTTCAGTTTTTCAAGTATAGATACAAACAGGCCATTTACTGAGATTTCACGTTAATTGCAGCTGATTGATGTTTTAATGGGAGGTTTTTAAATATGGGCCTCGTCAAACAACAGCAGAGCTATTTTCTGAATGTATGTTTGGGAACTTGTATCTTTAGCAAATCAAGTGACGGGAGTTGTGTTATAGTAAATTGTTCCATTGTTGCCGCTGCAAAAAGACACAGCTCGTGCTTCTTGAAGCAGGCATCTCGTCGGATAGATACGTCAGCATGGGCATTGACTAGCGGAGCTGCTGGAAGGCTAATTAAGAGGTGCGGTTTCGGTGGGAGCAGAAATACTTCGGTGTTTGGTGACACTGATATAGATTTCACCGGGACAATACGCTGCTTGTGTGTGACCTTGCTTATCTCTCATCTGCAGTGGACCATTACAGTTGGATTTTCTATATGTCACTGCGTCCGTGAGCGAGCGCTAACTTCAGCAGTGGTTGAATCTTGTAGCGGATTTATACTGACCTCTGGACCTGAGCATGGTGGTAACCTCCTATGTGGTAACCAACTCGGAAATAGATGAATACAGGGCACCCACTAGTCAGCTGCTGTCATTTTTAAATATTTACCATATATTTTGCATACTTTAAACTGATTAATCAGATATTATATATGGTAATGGTTTCCATTTAAACTGATATTAAATAGTGTGATATACTGAAAAGGCCACTGCTTGTTCTCATATTAATCATCAATTCGGTTTAATCAGGGCATTAAAAATGACACTGGTAATCTGACTAGGAAGACTCAGAGCTGTAAAATACAGACTCAGCATCAAATCTTTACATTAACGCTGCTATTCAAATGTCTAGTGAGAAAATGCCTGAATTTTGGAATTAGAGTAAAGCAGACTGGTATTGTGCCTTTTATTTATTGGTATTAGAGAATTATAAATATTGCATGAAGATTGTTAAAGGCTCGGCCTGAAGGAGCTCATTTCTGTTTTGCTTCCTTGTAGATGACCAAAGCGCGGACCTCTGACACACTGATCCAAGCTGGGCCATATGTCCAATATGTTTACCTGGAATGGCATTCAAAGCAAATTATTGAGTTGGTCAATTAAAAAAGTTACTTTGATGGTGAGTTTTCTGTTGAAATATGACAAAATGTGTCTTGCTGCTTTTTTGGGGGGTGGGTAAGGTGTACATTGCACTATAGGAACTGGACCCCGTGGAATGTGACACTGTTACATTAAATGAAAGAAGGTGTCTCAGAAAATAGAAGCTGAATGTCAATGTCAAAACAGAGTTCTCCAATCTCTCCACTATGAAAAAACTATTTTATTTCCGATTGTGCAATTAGGTTAAAAGCATTTCACTTGTATAGTATCATTTATGAGTGACCTCTGTACAAATCTGGGGTGATATAAGCTGGATTAAATTGAACAACCATGCTGTAAAACTCATTTCCACCACTATACGCAACTACATCTGATATAATTGTGAGGTAAATGGGTACTTCTGATAGCATCGCCCTCTGTTGGTCCCAGCAGGCCTTGCTCCAAGGTTAGTTTTGCAGTGTTGTGTGAGAACACAGGTTTTGATCTTATGGCCTGCGTGTAATTGCCACCTGAATTGGCACAAACAAGTAGGGACCTCTATGATGGCAGGTCAGCTTTCAGACAATAAAAACATCTTCTGAGGGTTTCATTGGCCAGTTATTTGTTCACTGTTATGTCCAGTAAAAATGTGTTGTGGCATTTTAATGGAAACTTCTGCTTTATCTGTGTTATACACATACACTACATTTATAAGAGTATAGCTGCTTATCTTTTTGTTATCTGTTGCTAATCGTAAATGTATTTTGAAGTGGGCAATATAGATTCCTCATGACTTGATTACTTTATGAAATTGCATTAATGTGCCACATTCTACTTTTTTTTTTTTTTTTTTTTTACAGAGATTGATAAGAGAATTCTTGTTTACCGAAGTGGAACAGTTAATTGAATAATGCAAATGAATCCATTTTATTAAAATTAGTAAGCAAACATTTAAGGTTGATTGTAAAATTAATTGTTAC